GCCAGCCCATGCTGGCTGAGGAATTCTGGGAGTTGAAGTCCACTCATTTTCAAGCTGCCAAGGTTAAGAAACACTGCTATAATTGCTGCCTTGAGTACCTGAATGAAGTGCGTATGTGGCCATATAACCCTGAAATCAAACAGATACAACACTGAATCAGAGTAGGAAAAAAAAGGGTGTCCTTAGTGAGAAGCACTGCAGCATGTATCTAAGCTAAGAGTTTAGCTACATAGTTCTGTACAAATTTGTTCATTTTTTGTCTTTTGTTTAATTATGTATTACATTTGCCTGCATAAAAATGGGTTGTTCAGGAATGCAAAGAGTAGGGGAAGCAGTCATTGAACTGGTAATTTTTATGAAATGTATCCTTGCTCAAGAGTTTGTGGCAGGTATGTTAGCTGAAAACTCATCAACTAAATAAATGGGTAAATATGTAGTAGACTACACCACACTACTTTAAGACCCTCAGTGCCTGGGTTCATACATTGAGTTAAGCTGTAATGTGATTTGTTTCATTTTGGCTTTGTGTGTTGTGCAAATTCAGCTCCTGTGGTGTGTAAACTAGGATTGACATGTTGTATGGACCCAGACAGTATTGGTTTCTTCAATGGAGCAAACCATGGCTTAGTACAATATGTATTTTGTTTCTACTTTTATTGTTGGATTTAGCCAAATAGTCATGTTCTGACCTCAGCAAAAACTGCTGTGATTGTCTAAACATACATGCAGATTTGTTCAGCAATATATTGTTACCAGATGATGCAGTGAAGGTAAATCAACACCTGTAGTACAGTGAATACTATATCCATATAGGATTCATGATATAAGACTTATTTCATACATCCATGGGATGACAAGTTGTGGCTGTCCCCCAAGTTGCTGATCTACCACTCTTCCACCATTGTCCGTTGTTGCAAAGGACTGGGGCCCAGAAACATCTAGTGGGTTATACGTTCTCCACCACTTTGTTAAGATTGCCTCTGGGTATAGCCCGTCTTACGGTGCCTTACAGGCCTAATATTGATTCATCCATGATGGGGTAAGGAAGTCTTTTAAGCAGTGAGATCAAATGGAACTGAAAGAAAAGTTGAGAACCCTTTGTTCTTCTCACAAAAGTTGGAGATACCTTTTCAAGTATTGCCTTGGATTGTTTAATTTCTAAATTGAGAAGATGGGCCTCTTCCAGTCATGCTTTGTGAGCTGGACGTTCATCCCAAAACTGCTTCATATATAGAACCTGGTGATGTACAGTAAAAACTGAAAGGACCTGCATGGGCCTAAGTGCATTTTTTCTGTCTTTTTCCATGCCTTTTTCTGTCTTCCGTCTTTTTCTCTGTGTCTTCAACACAGGTTGAAGCTTTTGTGTTACTACTTTTAAAAAACTGTACTCCAAGAAGCAGGAGCTTAAATTCTAATAATGAAAGTATTGGCATTCATCATATATGATCTGAAAGTACAAATAAGAAAAGATGAAAATTTGAATTTGTTATGTGTAAAGTTCAATTCCCTTCACTAAGAGAAACATCTAAGTTGAATTTAAATGAATATCAATATGATTTCAAAAAATAAATTCCGTTTCTATTTTTGCTATCTGCTGTATCACATTACCTCTAAGGAGTCACTCTGTAGCTTGTAGCTGGCATTACTTTCCATAGAGCCAAATGATGTTAGTAATTCCCATTGATTCCAGCAGACCTCCCTGTTGTTGGTTTTACAATATCCTAACACTAGGTGGCTGTTCTTTACTGACCTCAGCCAAGCTAAGAAAAGATAAGTCTGGTTGGAAGTGTTTTTTTCTAAAACAATTTTCTTGCCATTTTAAAAAAGAAATACAGAAAAAATATAGAAAAGCAAAATTTAAAAACAGTAATATATCCACCCAACACACTAATGTTACTTACTTATAATATCAAAGAAAGGGGAAAAATAAAATAGACCAATATTCTAAGCTAATGTAAATCACTTAAATATATCCATATAATCATTTTTATATTAACATAATGTACCTAATTAGGCATAAGAATGTCTATTCTTGTAAAATGTTATAAAATCTGAGTACTGTGTCATTTTTCTGTTAGAAAAAATTTTCGGGGTTCCGGTGGGGACAGTGGCGGCTTAGTCATCTCTCCATGAGAGGGGAGATTGTGCTACAACTGGATCCGTGGCTGGCAGCAAGTGCTGGCCACCCATCTTCCTCCAGATCAAGGAGGAACCAAGAAATCAATCCATTTGGTCTCCAGGACGGCCGTTCCTCATTAACTAACTGCAGAAATGGAAGCTTCTGTGAATGGGCTTGCAAGCGAGCGACTGGGGGCGGGTGTCCATCTTTGATCATAACTGTGGTGCCACCTAAATATGGACACTAGAGCTGGCCAAACCACGTTTCTAACCCACTTTGGAATATAACTATTTTTTAATGTAAGAGAGACCTTCCTTTGCAACAGATAAATCTCTTGATGTTTTTTCATTATTTCTGGGACTATAACTTTAAAAGAAGAATTTGAGTTTTATTGTAATTTGAACAACTCGTAAAAAGGTGGAAGATAAGAATACAAAAAAGATATAAAAGTTACTTATGGTGAAAGGGGAAGATTTATTTGTTATAAATTTAATTTTACGAAACTCCATCTGTATTAATTGGATTTGATTTTTCTATGGGAAAACTTTTTGTTTTTCTGTGATAGGCCTGTTAATTGGCTGGATTTTCAGAACAAAAGAAGATAGTAATTTGAGCTTTTTGTGTATTCCCTGTTGGCCCATGCCTGCAATTACAGCTTGAAAGGCACCAACTGTCTGCTTACTTTCATTTCTACAATACAGTGGTACCTCGGGTTACGAACGCCTCTGTTAACGAACTTTTTGGGTTACGACCAGCTCTGGCGGCAAAAATTTACCTCGGTTTGCGAACTCCGCCTCGAGTTATGAACCGGATCTGCGGCCATTTTCCCTGCTGCTCCGCAGTCGCGGCTTCCTGTGGGCGAGATCGCGGTAGCAAGGAGACGTTCGGTGGGGATTGAGGTGGGT